CCCGTATGGTGGTGAGGCTATGAGGTATTGATGCAGGAAGGGAAAGTTTTCTCATCCCCCCTCCCCCCCTCAAATGTCAAGGGTGGCCTGTTCTAAACCTCCTGGTGTAATATCTGCGCGGTAGATTAGAACTTCTGTTTATTGTCGCTGTACCAATGGTATCATTTAGCACTCCATTAACACTCTAGGGTAGCAGGTTAGCTCTGGGTGTCGGTGGAAGGATGGTCTAAACCGTTGGTTTTCGACCGCTAAGACCCGGATTCGATTCCAGCATTGGGCACTTTTTTATGACTTATAAAAATGCTCCAATGGCCCCCCGATTCTTGTAAAAGTCCAACCCCACCAGCGAGTGCAAGTAACCAAACGGGGCTCTGGCACATTTGTAAGTCCAAAGTCGAACTGCTTTTCACATGTGTGGACATGTGGTGCACTTACAGTAAAAGTAGTCGCCTACTTCTACCCACCATGATTATCATAGCCTGTACCACGTGTACTAGGGATAAGAAGCAAAAAGATTGGTTCTGAACTGGTGTATGTAGTCTGTATCACACTAAGTCTAATAGTGCTTATTGTGGCAACAACTTTCAAGGCATCTTACATTCATGGACAAAACTTATGGAAGTTTCATAATTTGATGTCGTCTCTTTTTTGAAGGAAATGAGTAAAATTTGTTTACACTTGGTTATCTCGTGTGTCTTCAATAGAGGTCACTGTAATATCCCGATATACATTCTTAAAAGTACAACTTAAGATTTGTCCATGAGTGTATACACACTTGGTTATCTCGTGTGTCTTCAATAAAGGTCTCTGTAATATCTTTCAGAGTTATTGTCTTAATCCCGATATACATGCTAAAAGATACAACTTCATTAAGTTTTGTCCTTGAGTGTAGTTATCTAGTGTGTCTTCAATAAAGGTCACTGTAATATCATTCAGAGTTATTGTCTTAATCCCTATATACATGCTGAAAGGTATAACTTCCTTAAGTTTTGTCCATGAGTGTAGTTATCTAGTGTGTCTTCAATAAAGGTCACTGTAATATCTTTCAGAGTTATTATCTGTATCCCGATATACATGCTAAAATGTACAACTTCCTTAAGTTTTTGTCCATGAGTGTAGTAATTAATTACAATCCTTTGTTGACCTTTGTTTTCCGATTAACTACACAGTATAGTTAGCTATAAGTTATACTGCTAGTTGCTCCTGTTGAAGGGAATGTTATCCCGAAAGCTAGAGAGATAAAATAAGGCAAGAAACTTAGTCCTGGATGTTCTATTTATGTTAATTTTTATTATATGTCAGGCGAGAAGAAGGTTCATTATAAATAGAACACGCGTATTTAATATATTCAAACAATGATTCATAGTAATACGTATAATAATGTGAGCCACTATTCTATGGGGTAAATATTATCCATAGACATCAGGAGGCAGAAATGATATCATTTAGGCTACCAATCATCATATAACAGGACTAATAGAGGTGAACTAACTAACTCCTGTCTTCATCATACGTTATCAGGTACTTAGTCAGAATGAATAGTTATTGGTCAAATTATTTTATTGTGGGTGTTGTGTGTTGTATCTGCCTAGCTTTATGTGTTTTGTGTAGGTTTTTATATTGTTGTGTACATTGTGTGTACAAGATCATATAACATGGCAAATAGAGGTCAACTAACCAAGTATAGGTCTGTCTTCATCATACTTTATCAGTTACTTAGTAAGAATGGATGGTTATTAGTCAAATTCTTTTATTGTGGGTGTTGTGTGTTGTATCTGCCTAGCTTTATGTGTTTTATGTGGGTTTTTATAATGCTGTGTACATTGTGTGTTCAATATCATATAACATGGCAAATAGATGGGAATTAACCAAGTATAGGCCTATCTTCATCATACTTTATCAGTTACTTAGTAAGAATGGATGGTTATTGGTCAAATTCTTTTATTGTGGGTGTTGTGTGTTGTATCTGCCAAATTTTATGTGTTTTGTGTAGGTTTTTATAAAATTGTGTACATTGTATGTACAAGATCACAAAACATGTCAAATAGATTTGAACTTACCAATTAAGTCCTGTCTTCATCATAATTTATCACTTACTTAGTAAGAATGGATGGGTATTGGTCAAATTATTTTATTGTGGGTGTTGTGTGTTGTATCTGTCTAGCTTTATGTGTTTTGTGTAGGTTTTTATAATGCTGTGTACATTGTGTGTGTGTTACTAGTGTATAATACAAACCATCACTACTCTATATTAATAAATTCCAGTAGGTCTCGAGGACCACGCCATCACCATCTCCTCAGCGGCGAAGCACGGGATCTATGTTTTCTTCGTGGATCGCGAAATGCGTGGCATCGTTGGAGACTCACAGAGGTGCCATGTACATTGTACATAGTGTTATGCATTGCATATATATATATGGAAATTTTTCCGGGAGAAAATTGATCTAAAGAGACAAGGGTCGCCTCTCCCGTCAAAATAGACGTCTAAAACCAGACGCCATCTCTTGACCGTCGCCGCAACTAGCGGCCTCGGGTCGGTGACAAAGCCACAACACCAGCTTTGGCAAACTGAAAAGCGTCCACCTAGAGACCATGGTTTCGGGCTGATGGCCCTCGTCAGTCAAGTGTGTCGTCCCGTGTGGATCTCATGGAATAAAGTCCGCCCTAGACTGACGAGGGCCATTAGCCCGAAACCATGGTCTCTAGGTGGACGCTTTTCAGTTTGCCAAAGCTGGTATTGTGGCTTTGTCACCGACCCGAGGCCGCTAGTTGCGGCGACGGTCAAGAGATGGCGTCTGGTTTTAGACGTCTATTTTGACGGGAGAGGCGACCCTTGTCTCTTTATATATATATATGAAAAAATAATAAGAAAAAAATTAAAAAGGGTCAGGTGTTGATATTAAAAATAAAAAAGGCATATCCTGACCAGGAGCACATGTGCTTTTCAGAAGGCAGAGCGCCATCTGGTGTTAATGGGGAATAATTACAACCCCTATCCCCATCATGAAGGAGCTTCAGATGGTGTTCAGATTACACCAGATGGCGCTCTGCTTTCTGAAAAGCACATGTGCTCCTTTTAAAACAATAGTGCAGGCTGTGTAATACAAACTGATAAAGAAACTTATACCTAGATAGATTTTCTAGTTATTTAATATTTGTTTATCTCTATAAAATATGTAAACGATATAGGGATAGTTTTGGAAGGAGTCAGTGTCCTATGGTCAACCTGGAATATGAAATTCAGTTTGATAAAACGCAGATTTCATATTTCATTTGTCTCACATAGGTTTCTACGATTTTGTCTTTTATATAATTTCTCTTACAATACTCTATTTCTTTTTTAAATATTCAATTAAGAATGTTTAAGATTGAATAAATTCATGGAACTTTAATAAATTCGAGTTTTGTATCCTGCTTGGCTCGTCTTTTTTGCTACGGCCATAACACATTGAAATAACCGGTTCTCGTTCGATCACCGAAGTTAAGCAATTTCGAGCCTGATCAGTACTTGGGAGGGTGACCACTTGAGAGCACTTGGTACTGTAGGCTAATTCCTTTTTTTTTTTTTTTGCGTGTAGAGTTTGCATGAAGCGAATGGTATACACGAGGCAAATAGATTTTTATTGAATATATTCGAGGTGTACTATTTACATTACAAAAAGAAAATTCATTAAAATTCTTCTTCTTCAAAAAAAGAAATTCAAAGAGTAATTAATCTTTTTCAATTTGTAAAGAAATCCCATTCTATCAAGATCTTTTACAACTCGCTACTAGACTAAAGGTATTTTTCCTACTTGTTATTTATTCAGATCATCTTATCTAATGTTCCTTTGTCTTGCCTATAATCAAGCAAGATTCGAAATGCATTTTGATAGGAGAGGTTGTTCTGTTAACAATGCTCCTACGTCATTGTATTGTCCAACTGAGTCATAATCACATCTTAAAATGCAAAGACATCCATTAGAAATATTCGCAAACTCATCGTCAATGTCGTTAATAAATTTAGGAATTGTCTTTTTTACTCTTCACTGAACATATCCGTCTCAATTCCGGGGAAATTTTCCATTACTATCAATCGAAATAGACACTTTACTGGAAAATCCTTGTCTCTAACCATTATTTTTGTTATTTCTATGTATTGTTTGGATGAGATAAACCCCTAAAAATGGAATATCAGTTATATTGACTCACTTCATTGATGTGCAACGTTGTATTTTAGCTTTAACATTACTTTACTTTGAACCAAAAATAGTACAAAAGTAAAATTGTACTGGAAACAGGTGGATAATGGTATTTTTATTAATTCCTTTCATTACCAAATTCACTGAAATTTATATGCAATGTTTCTAAGAATGAATAAAATCTAAAGAAGACGATATTCTTCATTTAAGCGATATAAACTTGACGAGCTTTCGAGCTATGACGTCCTTTAACAGTCTGTAATATGAATACAAGAAACTAAAGAAGGAATGATATATAGTAGAACCTCCCTGTAAAGGACAAAACCTAATTACAGAGCCAAACTGTCCTTTAGGAAGATGTGTCCTCTTACCGGAGAGTCTCTAAACCAGAATTTCCACTCTGATTATAAGGGAAATAACGTTCACAAAGACCAGTATCTCAGAGCTATCCTTTCTTTACAGTGAATCAATCCTAAGACAGATGTATTCTTCCTCAACAAGGCTTCTCCAGTCCATTGCAATAGCTTCCAAATAGAGATAAGATTACATCTAGGTGTATCACTTCAGTTTGTCCACAAATGTTGTACGAGAACGTTCTATTGATCCGGTGCCGTCAATGTCTCTTTTATTCAGATTTTAAAGCAAGCTTTTATGCCTTAATACATACTCCATTTAATTCAGTCTTCGTTCTTATATACAAGTATTCATACAAGTTTCAACATACACTCATGAACAAAACTTAAGAAGGTTTAAAGTCTTTTAGGACGCCTGTCTTGTTTTTTTTTTTCCGAAAGAGATAAAGGAAATTTTGTTCACATTTGGCTACCTCATGTCTTCAATAAAATCACTGTGTATCAAATATCTTTCAGTGTTTTTGTCTGAATCCCGATATACATGCTAAATCTCAAACGTAACGAAAAAATATATAGGTTTCACAGGAAGTATAGATAATATTTTAAACACCACCGGATTTCAATGGCTGAATTTCTGCACAGACTATAGAACATTACAAAGATAAATTCCCTACATAATCAGGACTGCAATAGATCAATCTCTGCAAAAGGATCACACAAGAATAATAAATTCAAGACTATACCCCCACTATAAAAACATCTGCTCAACTCCGTTACCGGAACACTATCTGTCCAGCGATTTCCCGCTCCGGGTCAAACGGTGTATTGCTGGACTGAGAATCTTCTCGGTGCTCTTTACTGATGATCGCCCCAGAATATTTAAAACAGACGGATGGACATGCGAGATTTGCGGGACAAGAATGGAGCCGGGGCTACATCACCATATACTCTCATGTATGGGGCTGAAAGACGAACGAGAAGTGCTCCTCAGTGAAATAGGCCTTGAGGGACTCTCTTTGGAGCTCCTGTTGAATGAAGTGGTGAGAAACAGAGCTGGAGCGTTTGCGTTGTTCAAATTTTGGAAGACGGCTGAAGAGAAAAGAAAGCTATATACATAATCTAATTGATGTAAATAATCATATGTAAATAATCTTTGTCAGGATTAGAATGACGAATCCTGTATGGGACTTTGATTCCACTAAAAGGCTTGTTACTGCTGTTGTATATAGTCACAGTGTAAAAAAATACTATACTATACCTACTACATATATCTCTGTATTCTTAGTTCTCTTCTCTTCAATTACTCTGTAAACTGGCGAATCCTTTATAAGACGAGAGGTCCTCAATAAAGGCTTTTGTTGTTGTTGATATACATGCTAAAAGGTACAACTTACTTAAGTTTTGTCCATTAATGTATCTTTCAGAGTTATTGTCTCAATCCCGATATACATGCTAAAAGGTACAACATCTTTAAGTTTTGTCCATGAGTGTACCTTTCAGAGTCATTGTCTAAATCCCGATATACATGCTAAGAGGTACAACATCTTTAAGTTTTGTCCATGAGTGTATCTTTCAGAGTTATTGTCTCAATCCCGATATACCTGCTAAAAGGTACAATTTCCTTAAGTTTTGTCCACGAATGTACATTGTAGGTATGGTCTAACACCAATTGAAGGTTGTTACCATTTAAAAGAACTATAGTTACAACGAAAAATTCGTCCCTAAATGCTTTTATTTCTTATTTGGCTAATTTATATTGCTAAATACAAACAAGGCACCTCAGTTGGCCAGTGTTGTGATCAGGGTCCACGGATAGATCTGATCTTCTCCATGGACAAGACACCACCACCATATTGTTAAATTTCGAATCTGTATAAATAATTTCCTTCCATATTTAATCATATCATATTAAATTCTATCCAGGAACTTTAATTATTGCGGCAACCTTTATGGGCAAACACACATACATTTCTATATTTTATGTAGGGTATAAATATTTCTAAATACCTAAATTAAATTAAGAACTTTTGAGAAATGTTTTCATCAATAAATACGATAAAAAATTATCTCATCTAACACATCAATTTATAATTAGAATGAGATGACTAGAAGTAAAAAGTATAGCGACTAAAATTAAGGAAGTTGTACCTTTTAGGATGTATATCGGGATTCATACAATAACTCTGAAATATACACTGATAGACAAAACTTAAGGAAGTTGTACCTTTTGGCATGTATATTGGGATTCAGACAATAACTCTGAAAGATACACTCATGAACAAAACTTAAGGAAGTTGTACCTTTTAGGATGTATATCGGGATTCAGACAATAACTCTGAAAGATACACTGATAGACAAAACTTAAGGAAGTTGTACCTTTTAGGATGTATATCGGGATTCAGACAATAACTCTGAAATATACACTGATAGACAAAACTTAAGGAAGTTGTACCTTTTAGGATCTATATCGGGATTCAGACAATACCTATGAAAGATATCACCATGACCTTTATTAAAGTCAAACGAGATAACCAAATGTGAACAAAATTAGCCTCTGTCTCCTTCAAAAAATAGACAACGGCAATAATCAAAGACTTTTCACTTCCTTAAATTTTGTCTATGAGATAATTTAATACATACAAATTAATTTATATCTTAATTTAGACGTATTTTTTTATTGAAATTCCAAAGAGGCTCGAGATAGAAACCTGAATTTTTCTATTTTTTCCTCTTTTAAGTTCATGATCAATCTTCCAAAAATTCAAGTCTCAAAAGTATTCATGATTTGAAACCGTACGCCATATACACAGACATTGTATTTATGTGGATATAGAAAATATATGTTTTCTTATGTGATTGTCTATCATAGGTTTCTACTATATTTAACCTATCTAGAAGCAACCGTGTTGAAAAAAAAGGAGAGACGGTTAGCACTCCCCTTGACAAGGATGGAATGGTCTAAACTAGGGGTCGACAAACCTTTGAGTTGGAAGAGTCAAAAATTAAATTTACAAAATTTCAAAGTTTTTAAAGAGCCACAACATTTTTCTTGCCAACAATAAATAGAGTATAATATAATGCGGCTTATGATTGTAAAACGAAATTTGAAATACTATCCCGCATGTGTTTCTTTTCAACGAAAATTCAAAATTTATTTTAAGAAGAAATAACTATTATTTCTAACCTTTTGGATGAAATATGAAAGGGTGAATTGTGGAGAGTAATGATAAACGGAAAAATAAAAGTGACCAGGGATTATATTATATTGTATTATAAATTACTTTATGTATTAATTACGAACGGAAAAAATATGTCCAGGGTAGCCTAGTGAACATGGCATCTGCCCGGTAAGCGGAACACTGTGGGTTCGTTTCCCATCCCTGGTCACGTTTATTTTTCCGTTTATCATTACTCTCTACAATTCACCCTTTCATACCTCATCCAAAAGGTTAGAAATAATCGTTATTTCTTCTTGAAATAAATTTTGAATTTTCGTTGAAAAGAAACACATGCGGGATGGTATTTCAAATGTCGTTTTATAATAAAATAGAGTACTCGCATCAATAATATTTGCCTATGGAACTATATAAAGAGACGCAGTTTCACATCCAAAGAGCCGCATGTGGCTCGACAGAGTGCCGACCCCTGGTCTAGACACAACCTTAAAAAGTTGTAGTCGGAGATACTTACTGTCTCAGTTCCGACAGCAGAATTTGCTAATCACATCAATATCATTAGATGAGTTGTTGAAATTCATGTTAAAATATGATTTTTTAACTCTAGTATAATCTGATCCATCCCCGATATCATCTCTCTTTATTTGTTTTTAGATTTACCTGTTGTAGAACAGATGTATAATTCTTCTCAATGTATAATTTTCTTACAACATAAACCTTAGATTATTAAAACATTGAATCAGTAAACATGATGGCAACCATTTCGTTCAATTACATTACTTTATTTTTCATATAATATTTTTGTAAACAAAAAAGGTGATTCAATGAATATTTACACA